TGTTAGGTCGCATTCAACCATTCGATACATGTTATTTGTGTCGTTGTTGTTCATTCTTCTTTTTTTCTATCGCTTCTTATTTCGCTCGTTCCAATCTTTTCTTTTATTCTTTTTTTGTAGGAGAAAATGTTCGGCAATATCCTAAGTTGGGGCTTAAAGGTTTTATGTACTAAAAGTGTTTGAATGTAGCGGAATTTTCTGTATTCGTTATTTTCTTTCGAAAATCACCGCACAGATTGTGTGCCGAAAGTGCTCAATATTCGTTGGCAATTTTCGTCATTTAATCCAATCATTTTGCAATGTCTGTGTCTTCATTGACAGCACATTTCATAAAACAGAGCCAATATTGTGTTGTTATTTTACTTATATATAGATCTGTTTCTGACTGGTGACGCGTAAAAAACAACAACATTTTCAAAAAAAATGATAATAATGTTTTCCACCAAACTTTGTACCATTTTCCGAAAATTTCAATGAATTTTTCATGTATTTACAATACATATGTGCTGTGCAAAATACACTTCAATAAGTGCCTAACTTTGTTGCTTAAATTGTTCTGTATTTTATCAAATGAAATACGCTTGGAAAAACGACAATACAGACAACAACCGTTCTATTTTGTTATGAATGTTATCGAATTTTCGTCTGTTCTCTGGTTGATTGTGCTTTAAACCTGAGTTTACGACATTGTTTTTTTCTCTCTCCACTTTTTTTCTCTTAATACCATTTTGATACAAACATCATCATCGTCATCGTCATCTTCGTCTTGGCCATAATCATGAATCAAAATCATTGAAAATTTACATATAAGGGTGTTTCATATCAATTCTCGATACATCAAGAGTGAATGAAAGAGAGAAATCGTCGAATGGATGGCAGAAGACGAAGCAGAAATGCGGCCGAAAAGTAGTTGAAGGCATTTATATGGAATTTTGGAATTGAGAATAGAAGAAAATGGTTGAGCAACAGCCAAACATCACGCGCACCGACCGAACCATCGTTATGTAAATTGAAATAAACACCCAAGCCGAAAGCCATTCATATTAGATGTTAGAAGTTTAGTAGGTAAGAAGTGGGTACGGGAGCATATCGTTACAACACGCACATTATGTATAATAATAAGATTTCTGCTACTGACGCTGTTACCGTTGTTTGCTGATTCTGCTCTGTATTGGTCTGTTGCTGTTCGAGATACTGCTGTTGATGATTATATCATGTATTGATGAAATTGAGAGAAAGAGAGCGAACATGATTGTAACTGTACACAAAAAACGTCGCAAACTGGTTTTATTGAGAAACGCAACAAGGATTGAAAAAAAAAAACGATGACGAAGTTTGAGATATTTTCTTCGATGGTATGCGTCGTTGTGTGTGTGTGTGTGTGTGTGTGGCATCCGTTATCAGTGAGTGTGTGTGTACGCTTTGATGACAGAACATTTATTATGATGAGCTAGGTGGTACACTAGATCAATGACATAGGTGTTAAGCTTTCACATAGTTGAGCTCTAGGTATCGAAAATAGTGTGATCAAATGAAAAGCAATCATTAAATAGTGCTTAAACACATCGACCCTCCTTTTTATCCTACTGATACCGGACGTGAACGCATGTGTTCCTTTTCGTTGTTATTTATTGCTAGGCTCGTTCATAAGTCTACAATTTATCCACACTTCTATTGTCCAAGAAAAGGAAAGAAATAAAAAAAAGTAGAACAAATGAACGAGAGATTGGAATCAGGGGTCCACTGTCATCTCCGATTCAATTGTTGCCTTTACCTAAAGCAACGAACTACATTCGGTATGGTGTTTTTTTTTGACGTGATTCTTCGTTATTTTGCAACAGTCAACGTATATGACGTTGGTGATGCATCACGCGCTGAAAATTTAATTTCTAATCATAAATTCTATCTCAAAAAGAAAATGTGTGCTTCATTTCCCAAAACGACCATATGGTGGATTCATATATTAATTTATTTCTGTAACGATACCAAGAATGGATGGTTGTTGTTCATATATTGACAAATTATTGATATGAGTCCATGTCATTCACTACATTTTATGGCATATATCATCAAAAATATGGAAGCACATAAATTCACAGTCAATTTTTGACGAATGTTGAAAAAGGTCTTTCAACGCAGGAAAAAACGATTTTATTGCTGTTACTTTGAAGAAAAAGAAACTATAGCCATAAAAATGATGTCAATTACATCTAATCATATTTGACTACATTTTTTCTGACGGTAATTTTGACATTTGTGACCAAAATGAGTGATAAATGAATTACAGTATTAAGTATTTGCCATTTGTAATTTATTTTTTATCTTTTTAAAAGTCGATGTTGGGCTACTATGTGACATTTTCATTCGCTTAAAAACCCCTAGACGATGTCGATTTTGCGAGACAAATCTAATAAAAATAGAGAGTCAAGTAGCACGAAAGGAGACCTAACGCGCCGTTCGCATGTAACACGAGGCACGCAAAAAGAATGGGCACCATGATAAAAGAGGCAAAAGGCCAGATGCGGAGCAAAGTAAGAGTAAAAATGCGTTGCCATTCAACAAAACTAATGCTTTGGAGTTTTAAGATGTTACCTTGATCTAAATAAATTTCTCTATTATGCGTACGGGGCGCTATGAGCTTCTGTGTATTTGTGTGCAAACAATGTGCAACGCACCATACATACATCCATGCCAAACTAGAGAGAACGATAAAAAAGCATTCGGTTAGAAGCAAGACACGCACACCTTGATAAACATTATAAATCGGGTAAATAAAAACTGCCTTATCATCGATTCGTCGTGGAAAAATAAAAAAGTGTTCGAAAAAACACACAGAGAGAGAGAGAATATAAGCAGTAACGGCAGCGTCGCGCCATCAGTAAGTAAGCAACATCCAGCAGCAACAGTAACGGCGTCAAAATGATAACAGAGCACATTGTGTGTTGTGTTTTTGCACAGTTACAAAAAAAAATCTGCCTTACGATAGTCGCAAACACCATTGTCAACAAGCTCATTCGCTCTTCGTGTGTATGTGTTCTATATACTTATTGTATGTATACTAGAAAAAGCTAGGCAACAAACAGTACCACGTACACAATCAAACGGTGTATTCAAAACAGACACTAGACAAACAACGCTCCAAAATGAGATCGAATGATGGATTGAAAGAGAAAATAGCACATTTGTATAGGTAAAACGGTTCGTTTTTATGTAACACCAACAAGTTGTGAATCCATGTTTTGCCATGTAGTGGTGTGCGTACATCTAGTTCAATGTATACGTATAGTCGTATGTATATATAATTTTATACTCTCAGAGCATCCATCGTAAGACTCGAACAACTATTCCATATCATCTATATGATGTGAGCTATGTGTTTGCTCTATTTTACATACATATTAAAGCTTATTTGTTGAATATACCAACAGTGGAGAGCGAGAGAAAGAACGCGTACGCGATAGAGAGAACAAGAAAGAGAGCTTGCCGCCCATGTCAATGTATGCATTGTGAGGGTGATAAGAGGGTTTGAATTAGTGAGTGAAGGAGTCTATGGGCATGAAATGCCTTATCAGTTGTGTGAATTTCTCATGCTACAATATATAGCTCTCATTTACTCTCTCTTTCTGACGCATAGTATATGCAAAAAAGTTCGTTTTATGTGCACTCAACATATGATTCTCCATCTTTTCAAAAAAGCGAAAAGTTAATGCAAAAAAAAAAAATTGTTGGTCTCTATCGTCTAGATATCAGACGATAAAGCGAATGAACATACAAAAAGAGCCGAAAAGAAAATATAAAATTCAACGCAATAAGCAAGAAGGTATAGTACATGACATGAACACATTTGCATGCTAATGATTAACCACTAAATAAAAATTGCAAATGTAACGAAGAAAAAGTTTCACAAGTAGATTCACTGCAGGGTAATTGTGAAAGAGACAGCGAAGCGATATAAAAATTCATTTGAATGTTTCAAATCTCGTCTCAATAACATTTTTTTTTCATTTAAAATGAGAGTTAGAGAGAGAAAATTTCGTGAAAGCAATTGAAACAGCACGTATATGTGGATGATAAACGTGCGCGACAGTAAATGGATGAACCAAAAACAACAAAGACAACAACAATAGCATAGCATCACTACTATCATTATACATATAAACATTTCATTTTGCTGCGATGTCCCGAGTAAATACGCACGCAACAGCAGTAGCTTGTAAATAATATAAATATAGATAAGAACACGGGCATTTAAGAAAAAGCGCACACACCAAGATTTGAAGCAGCAGCAACGGCAGCCAAAGCCTCACGAACGAAAATTGAATGAGTTGAAAAGCAGGGAAACAAGTGTCGAAAAACGTACTAGATTTTCTTGAGAGTAGTTGTTGGTGGCCAAAAGTGCGTAGGTATTTGTGCGTCGCTTCTTGATGGATGTGGCTGTGTAATGACACAATGCTATATAAAAGTTCGACTATGTGGATGATAACCAAACATGCTATAAATATGTATATAAGTATACAATGGCTAGATTGAATGGCAACAGCAGCAACACCAAATCGAACGCATGTGCATGTATTTAGAGATGGATGCTGGAGCATATACACACAATACGAAACGATATCATATCAAACAGAGTGCGCGCACGCGAACAACTGATAAAAAAGTTTCGTGCTTGCCTGGTCCGCTTTTTCTCTCTCTCGCCCCCTTTCTATACCTCTGGCTCTCTCTCGTACGCTCAATTTATATATATTCAATCTCGTACATAAACAACACAGTAAAAGCGAAGCAAACACCGAAGTTTCGATGTCTAAAGCGTACGGATTTTCGTTCACTGTGATGCTGCTGCTGCTTCCCGAGAGACTGAACAGCGAAAATTGGAGGTGGTTGAAAGTCAGTCATCATTGGTAGTGTGCGTGTCTCTCTTTTCAAACTAAAAAGACAGATTTTTTCTGTTTTTTTTTTTCGAATTAAATTAGTTTTTTTTCTCACTTTCTGTCTCTAGTTTCATTTCGAATAGTTTCATATATATTAAATAAAATCGGTTTAACCAAAAGAGAAACAAAAATCAAAGCGAAAGAAAGTATAAATTGAAATTGATTGCGCGGATTTGAAAATACCAAAAACAAAATAGCAAACAAGAATTATAAAGTACACAGCTTACAACAGTTATCAGAAGCTATCGTACAACGTTTCGCCGAAGAGAGCAAGCCATAAGTTTTTGATCAGACGAAAGCGATTTAAGCAAGTCATATATGTATTTAAAGTAAAACGTTAACATAATCCAATCGAGTGTAAATAAAATAGACGAAAAGTTTCGGTATTAAAATGGAAAAAAAAACACAAAAGACACCCAAATGAAAAACGTAAATTGACGTGAGTGTAATGTAATAGTGATTCTGTTATATACATCTATATCTCCTTTTCCCTATTGCAATTTCTTTTTGTACACATATTTAAATAAAAAAATCCCATTTTAAGAACGGAATTAAGAGTCCTACATATTCTTTTTTTAAATGATATTTGATCACGTGCGTTTTTGTGCATTCTGAAAAAGATTTTTCAATATTAAAACCTACAAAGCTGAAATTAAAATAAAAACAAAACACACCGAGAAGAACGTTCTCCATTCGAAATTGAAATGGAATTGAAATAAAAATTTGCGAGTGAATACGACGAGTTGCGTGATACACTTTTGGAATTTTATATCGTTGCCAAATAAAAATAACAAAAAAAAATATACAAAAAATTATACGCACCGTAAGTACACACTTAAAAAGAAGAAAAAAGAAACGAGGGAAAAGAAACGGATTTAATTTTACAGCAGACACAAAGCCAACACGTATCCATATTCTTTTTTCCTCATTTCCAGACAACGAAATGGTTATTTGAATGGATCGAAAAAAATAAAAGAATATTTCAAGCGTTTAGCGTTTGAGTGAAATAAAAGTAGAAAAAAAAGCTTTCAATTCCTTCGATACTCTTGAAAAACCAGTCGTTTGTAAATCACTTATCACATTATGGTGAAATGAGCGAAATTTTTGGTGAATTTAATATCCAGAGTTTTGCGCGCGCTATAGTCTGCGTTTGGTCTAAAAGACGTTGAAGAATAAGAGTAAAAAAAAGTGATTTTCTGCAAGAAACCTGACTCTCATCGAAGTCAAAGAATTGGGAGTGTGTGTGTGTGTGCGTGTGTGTGAGAGTAAATCTATCTCTGGGATCTGGTAATTTCACTTTCTTTTCATTTCAAACAGTTTCACTCATTTATTTATAAATTTATTGCCTATCTTCATGCACTGGTTTTTTATCGGCCAAATGTGTTTATTTACTCGAATCGATTCTCAATACTAAACCGTACTCAGAAACCATACTCGATGGCCTATCCCATTCAAATACGCGCTATTTGTTTCAGGTTGAATTTGGTACATGCATGTGTATGACTGCTTGTCTGCCATATAATTTGTATTTTTTTTCGTCATCATCATCATCTCATCTCTCGTGAACTCAGTGCGAACGCTTGAAAATTCACATTTGTAAATTGAATGGTGCTGTTGATTTTGATTAAAAATTTTAGGGTTTTCAACGCAGATAGGCACACGTAACGGATATAACATGGTCGATGGTTTTCATAGAGGAGACTGTGACAAACAAGGTTTTTTTGCCATCGTTTGATACTAATCAAATTAGGTACTACAACAAAAACAATAACAACAGCCATGACACTTATTGTCTCTGTCCCTTTATATACACATAGAGACTTTCTATTCTATCGGATGTCCGTTAACAACGCACACAAAAACAAATCTAAATCTATGCTCAAAAATTGCTATCAATCTTTCACATAGTCCAACTAGTGTTCAAGCATCGAAATCAAGAGAGTACGAACACGGTACTCACAAAAAAGCCACATCGTACTCAAAAGATAAACGCAACACATTTTGTCCGCCGAAAATGATAAAACTACTTCAGTCATTCCCAACAACAGTGTTTGTTCAACCAGCCATTGTATCAAATAAATCTGTTTTCTATATATGTATGTGTGTTGTGATGGGACACACGCACACACATGAATTTCAATTTGAAAAGCATCTTGACCGATAATGTCATTCACATCAATTCAACCAGTAGCAAGCGTAAATCGAATGAATAACCATATTATTTCTTCAAAAGTGTCAAAAAAACAACGCTTTTAACTGACAGTCGAAATAAATGGAATGTAGCGACAGTTGTAGTTGCCGCCAAGCAAAGAAATCTCATTACGTTTAATATCATTTCGTCTTTTATGGCATTGTGGGTGTAGGTGTTGTGTGTTTATTTAGTGGAGGGTGATTATGTTTTTGTTGCTTGATTCTATTCCTCATTACGTTTGGTTGTTCGTGTACACACATAAACTACCCAAGCGAAAAACGAAGAAAGTATAAAAATCGCGCGTATGCAAAAGAAACAGAAAAAAAAAGAAACACTAACTACACATTACGAATGGAATGAACGAATGAGAAGAAACAGCATGTTTTGTTTTTCCCATATCAATGTTGTTTCTTGAAGACTCTCTCATGTTGTTTGTTTCTTTTTTTCTTCTGTTCGTCTTTTTTTCCATTCTTAACACTGATATAATAACGACATTTGCTGCTGGCTCTATATTCCATTTTCCTTTTTTGTTTTTCTGGATGATTTCTTTGAATATATACAATTCATTATTTTCGACGGTTTTGTTTGCCTCGTTCTTCTCCGTCATCCGCTTCGTACTGATGGTAATGATTGGTATTGTGGATGAGAGGGGGTTTCTATGATTGTATGCGTGCGTGTGAGTATTTTTATGCCTATGCCCGAGACGAAAGCTATTCTTTTCTCAGCTAAACAGCAAAACCAGAGACCATTTCAGCTTCGATTTACATTTTTTTCGAATGTATATACTATGTATGGTACATGTAAAAATGCTTGTGTACGTATATGATTTGTTGTTAGGCTTATTCTAACCCAAACTCAAACCCAACACGAATCAACGAACCTGAAATGAAACCTCACACAATGTACATATACACACAAAATTCTCTCACATTCTCTGTTCTATTCGCATCTCGTATTGAGTTACGGGTACGACATTTGCAAATGTAACAAAATCTTTCTGTTTTCTTTGGTTGTGCTTTCGGTTCTCACTTTTCTATTCTTTTTTTCCCATCTTACTGTTGTGCTCGTGTGTGTGCATGTGTTTTTTTTCTTTCTATTTGGCATATTCGGATTGTATCCACATAAATAAAGTCAATACGCACATCCTTCATTGCCTGATATTATTCTGTTGCTTGTGATTGCGATACCGTCGTGTTGTGTTTGGTTTGATTTTGATGGTGAGAGAGAGAGTTATTCTCGCCGTCGTGTAATAGTCGTCTGCTCCATCATCAACAACGATGAAGGTGCTTTTGTGCACGCACAGACACACACACACACACATATTAAAGGTTAATATATATAACATGTATGCGCTATGTGCGCCGAGTTTCGATGAGTGACGAATTCCAAATCACCATTAAAAGCGCACAGAAACACGAGAAAAAAAAAAAACAAAAGACAAACATCGCACGAACGCGAGACAACAACATTTTCAGTGAACGAATAATATAGTATAAAAAAAAGACAGAGAAAATGTATGAGAGAGAGAGAGAGAGAGAGAGAGAGTAAAACGCACAGATAAAGAGCCGACAACGAGAACGAGAACGAAAATGAAAATATTTTATGTTTAATGAACTTTGCTTGAGGATAATCAAAATTAATACACATCGCATACACATTTCTATCCATTTTCTAACTCGACTCGCGTAAAACATGTAATTTGTTTGTGCAATCGAAACGAAAACGCAGACGAACAAGAGTTGAAGTACGTACACAACCACACCATATTGAAGCTAATGCGAATGAACATTTTATGTGTGTGTGTGTGTTTAAGGGAGAGGTAGATAGAACGAGAGACAAGCAAAAAAAAGTTTCGAACGATGTTGAATGAAAGGGAGTGGAACGGTATTTTTGAACCGTGCCCTGAAATCATCACATTGTATGTTTCGCTATTGTCGAACAAAATAAAATGGTGATTGCGTTCGAATTTAGAAAAATGAGAGAAAACAAAGAGCACAAAAGCACACACTTCACGAACAAAAAGAAAAAATGTTGAACAAAAAAAATCTTGAAACATATTCTCAAGCTTTATTTTTTTTCTTTCCTCTTAAGAAGAAAAGTGGTGCAAAAAGAGGAGAATAACGAAAAAAAATTTATATATATTCGTCAATTTTTGAATCTAAGCTTTGAAAACTGTCAAAAAAGAAGGACTCAAGAAGTTTTACTTTATTCCTAATCCGAAACTTTTGCTAAAGTTAAACGAACGCGCCAAGTCTCAAAGGGGCAAACGTTTGTGAAGCGAGCGATATGTATACAACAACAATTCTGTTGATTGGAAATAGTTCATGGTGTATACCTCCCTACCTCATTCTCATTCTCTTCTGTAACACTCTTTCTATCTCTCATTGATGCATTCACTCTGGCTCTTGTTCTCTTTCACTGCTTTATCATTTAATTGGCCACATTTTGCATTCAATGGCCACGTTTCTATGGCATTTAGTACCTTTGACTGTGTGTACGCGCGGCAAAATTTTACTTCTTACAATATCTAAATGGCAAATGGACGAAGAAAAGTTCGGTGAACAGTCAAAATCGCGATTTGCATTTAAATAGTGCCCTATTTTACATAAAACGTAACATTTTCCACAATGAAGTCAATGTAGCGACAAATATTATCTTTGCATGGCCATATCACTCGGGCAAAGTGTAACATGTAAAAACGAATGTGGCCAACGAACACATGAACCGAGAGAAACGAGACACCGATTTAGCGACAAAATGTGCACATCAAAAAGGTGGAATAAAAAAGTGAATGTCACAATAAAATTACGTGAATTAAGTACAGCGAAATGGAATCGATAATTTAGTGTAAAAGTTGGTCCGTTAGCAAAAGAGATATATACGTATACACCGACAACGATGATGATGACAGTTAGACCGTGGAACTTCTTAAACACAAATAAACGATGAAAATGAATTAAATGGTTGAATAATAAATACATCGTAAAATAGATCACAGCTAGAATGAAAAAGAGTGAGTGTATGTGAGAGAGAGGGAGAGGGAGAGGGAGAGAGTGCTAAACTAAGTCGCAAAAAATCTGAAGAAAAAAAAAAACAAACGTAGTGGGAGAGAGATACAGAAAGAAAAACTTCTTATCGTCGCCCTGCGTATAGTTTTTTTTTTCTTTTTAATTTCCATTTTCGCGCATTTTTTTATTTCCATTTTTACTGTTTACAGTTTATTTTCATTTCATTTTACTTTTTTTTCT